TCACCACCGACAAAGCCAGCTCGCAGGTCCTGAATCACAGCCACCACCACGCCTCCTAAGCCTGCTCTTTCTAATCTACATCCTCTCTTGGAATATGGAACCAACCACGGGGCAGGGACCCAGAGGGGATGCTACACCATCCCTTCTTGTTCACCCTCCTCCCACGCCCATCCACCCCTGCACCCTCCACGTCTGCCTCTGCAGCAGCTCGTGGACCAGGCCCAGACCGCTCCTGTCCCCACCTGCCTCTGGCCTGTGCCCACACCCATGTGCCTGCACCCACGCCCCCACCACATTGCTCTATGCCCACTCTTCCCTCTCTTTGCTATGATAGCCTCTAAGATGGCACGAATTCTATATTTTCCTTATCCTAGACCTGCCTTCCTCAATGGGCTGACCTAAGTCCAAAGTCGTGCTTACCTTGTCTGTCTTCCTTGCTACAATCACAAGCCTCAAGAGGGCAGGAACTTCTCACCTCCAAAAGATAAAACTCAAAAGTCTACTGTGTGGCTGTCCCTAGCAGAGCACACCCTCTCTAAGGGCACGCTGATTGGAGTCTCCTACACACCCTGACTACCTGTGGGTCAGGGATGCAATCTGTAAGAAACAAGCACCCACACTTGGCTCTGACCTGGAACGGGCATATTCAAGCTTCAGCTAGCTTATCATTTATGTTCCTATAGTTTCTTACTCCCTAAGGCTTCCACCCTGAAATTCACGAATCCCTAAAACTTCCTGGCAAAGAGAACTTTTCCCTGATCAACGTCTCCAAGAAAATTACAGCCTCCCATTGCAACACTCCACTCACAGGGTTATCTCCCCAAACTTCAGTGATGCCTAATTGTATCCATCAGACCCCGCTATCTTGACATGTTTTGCACACTGTTACTCCCACCTCTGAGGCCATGAAGGGTTTTCATCTCCTTTCCCAGTAATAGGCACCTTCAGAGCCCAGCTGAGACTGTTAGGTGCCATTCAAATAAAAGTTAGAGATTTATTCCACATTTCCTTGAAGAGACTGTGGCTAGCACTAACGAGGAGTGTGCATGTGCATGTGTGTCTGTGTGCATTTGCTTGCACGTATATGTGGCGTGCGTGTACACATGCATATGTGTACAAAAATGTTTTATCCACATGCATGTGCTAAAGTTGCACTTGCAGATTCTGCATCCTTCGACAGCAGGACCAAACTGCCTTTTCCCAGTGGTGTAGACACTCTATGAGGAGACCTGGGCTATGTGGCACATATTCCTGACTCGTGCCAGTGGTGTCCCGGCTCCTGCAGAGTCAGACCCTCTGAGCACTCCTCCACTCGGCTCTGAACATTGCTCCCCCTCCACAAATGATTTCACTGACCCTGATCACTTTGGCCAGCCTCTTGTATAAGATAAACATCCTGTTCCTTGTCAGGAAGCAGTTAATCCAGCTGGACAAGCCCAGATCCTCCAGACCAGATCCTGTGTGTCAACCTCAAATAACCCTTCTCTTCCCTCAAATAACCCTTCTCTTCCCACATTCTTCTTTCCAAGTCAAAGAACACAGCATTGAGAGGCCTCTAAGTGCCAGCAGGGACTCCCGCTGTTGCTCAGAAGTGGCCCCTTCCTACCTACAACATCAGCCACCAGCGCGCCCCTCCTCCCACAGGAACCAGCAGGAGCGCACAGCGGGCCAGGAGCTGGGTCTCTGAAGCCTTGGGGTGCATGGCAAATGCATGACTCCCAGAAAATCCCAGCTCCCCCTTACGGCATTGCAGATCTATCTGCCACTGCCTGAGGGCCCCTGGAGAAATCCCACGCCCAGAGGACTTCTTGTACCTTCATTAACTGGAATTATTTTCTGTATTTCAACTTGAAGAAAGAGGAAAATCCAAGTAACAACCCAAGCTTACCCCCAGAGCCAGGCGGACTACAGTGCTCAGGAGGTGGTGCGTGTTCGGGCTGGTGCCTTCTGCACTCCAGCTGTCTCAACAGTCTCGCACCAGCCTGAACACTGAGGTCAAAGGACTAGAAAGTGCTCGGGTATCAAAACCACAGCATCTTATTACCAGGGCTCTTGCTGAAGGAAAAGAGTGTATCTTAAAGATCTTTAATAAGCAAAAGAACTGAGGTTTATATGCTCAAGGAGCCAGCAAACCAAGAGTTCAGCAAACCAGAACAGCCTTTCAAAAGAGCACTTGTGCCTCTGCCGATGACTACAGCCTGTGGGGACACCTTCTAATCATGTGGTCCCCAACCCCCCGGCAAAGGACTAACTGGTAACGGTCCATGGCCTAGGAACCGGGCCACACAGCAGGAGGCGAGCGGCAGTGAAGCGAGTGAAGCTGTATTTATACCCACTCCCCATCACTCACATCACCACCTGAGCTGGGCCTCCTGTCAGATCAGTCACTGTCTCCCATTCCCCCCAGGTAGGACCATCTAGTTGCAGGAAAACAAGCTAAGGACACCCACTGATTCTGCCTTATGGCAAGTTATATATTCATTATATATTACAATGTAATAATAGAAATGAGGTGCACAATAAATATAATGCACTTGAATCATCCCCAAACCATCCTCCCCACCCCCACTTTCACCACCACCCCACCCCAGTCTGTGGAAAAATTGTCTTCCATGAAACAGGGCGCTGGTGCCAAAAAGGTTGGGGACCACTGTCCCAATCAATCTCTTCTCCACGTAGCAGCCAGAGTGAATGTGCACAAGGACCTGAGCATTTCAGCCAGTGGTTTTACATGCCCCTGAGACTTGGCCCCAGGTTCCTCCAGCCCAGGTCACCCCACCCTTCTTCCCAATGACAGCGGCATCACTGCCACTGTCATCACCCTGCACTTGCACTCCAGGCAGGTGCTCCTGCTGCTCTTTCTGCATGTCTAGCCTCAACCCATCTCCTGCATGTCCTACTAGAAGTGGCTGAAACATCACATAGTCCAGGGAATTGCCCCTGACCCCCCAAACTGAGACAGCTCCTCGCAGAACCCTATGTTCTTCTTGATAATGTGAATGTTAATTACTTTAATTAGGCTTTTTAATTAATTGTCTAAAATCTGTCTTCCCTGCTACAACCCAAGAGGTCAGGAACCAGGTGTCTCTTGTTCTCCTACATCCCTACCACTGCAGCGGCCCAGGAGATGCTTTGTCAGTGCTTGTGGAATTGAACTAAAGTCATCTCCACACCCCATGCTCTGCCTGAGACCTGGCCCCAGGGCAGGTGCTTGGCGGAGGTCTGCATGAACGACACAACTTCAGCCCCAGAAGGAAGCTGGACAGCACACCAAGCAATTTTAACACAGGTTTCTTTATGATATGAAAGACGGACTTGGACTATACTAATGAGCATTCCCCAAGCCTGGGAAACAAACTCCAAAAGGAGTACAACTGCACCAACCACACTTGAAATCCAGGACATCATTTAAAATGTCCACTAAATAGTTAACTGATGGAAACAAATGGTACATTTCACGCAGATGTTCCAAGGTGACACTGTACACCGATGCAACGCATGGTTGTGTTATGTGTACACAAATGTGTGTGTGCGTGCAGTGTGGACACAAGTGTGCACGTGTGTGTGTGTGTACAATAAGCCTGCAGGAAGGTGAGGAGGGTGTCTCTGAGCTCATCCCTGCCACTGGTAGAGCACAAATTCCATTTTTCCAGTTCTTCTTTCTTCTGGACAATTAACGTCATGGTCGTGTCCCTTTGTCCCATCCTGCTGACAATCAGGCAAACGCATTAAGAACTGCTTGGGTCTTACAGCATAGGCTGATGGTAAAGTAGTTAAGACAAACTTATTTACCACATTAATTAAATGGTCTATTTAACATGGAATATCAATTCTCTAATCACATCTCAGTTGAACTTCTTTCAATTAACAGCTCTGAAGTCTACTGACAGAGGTCCTACTGTTCTAGGATCATTAAGAGCACTTTCATTATCTGTCCAAGGAGGGCATCAGAAGCAGAACGCGGGCGCTCTCCGGAGCACCGCTCCCCTGCTTAAAGGATGATTAGGGAGGGAACCGCGCAGTGCTCATTAGTTGCTTAGCAATGAAACGACCTCCTATGAAATCATAAATGGAAACAAAGTGTGAGAGGGTTGCAATAAAACTCACTAAATGGATGTGTTCTCATCCTCAGAGGATAATCTGTCCGTGAGTAAACCTAATCTCTCCAGAATACAACATGATGGGAATCTAGAGCAGGCTACAAACTAAAAGGACTAAAAGCATGCTCTAATAAAAACTAACACACCAAAGTCAGGAAGGTTCATGTGAAGACAAATTAAAATCAGCTTTAAATTGAAATGCTGCAACTAAACAGTAAAGCCCTTCCTTTTAAATGTATTTTTTATTCGTAGATGAATTAATAAGTAGATCCCTCACTTAAATTATCAGCATTTTTTAAAAATTTAAAATATGTCAAAAGGGGTAAAGTTATATTCAAGTTGGCTGTTATAACATAAAGAAAAAATGTGCAATACTCAAAGAGAAACAGCATAGCCCAACCTAAACCTCTGTTAAACCAATTATTTTGCATGGAGTTAATATTCCCATGAAAAATGTTACTAGTATATCAAAAGTAGGAAAGTGATGAAATGCCACAGAAATGCAATTAAAGATTTGGTTTTTAGCTCATAAGCAAGATATTCAACTAATATTCTACTACCTGAACCTTGTCCATTTAAATCCAAATCAATGAAGAAGCCGTTAGAAATAAACACACTCCCCAAAGATACCACATTTCTCTTCAGATATTATTTAAAAGAAGACATTAATAATTGCAACTGCATCTTAACATCCTCATTAGTTGAGCCTGTAGGTTTAAAGACATTTTTGAAGCTGGCATCAATGAGAAAACTATTATTCTCTATTGCTACCAGTCATTGATAACATTAAACTGAATGGCACCTTCCAATATTGCTAAAATTATGCGTACTGATACACAATAAGTCCACTGATGTTCACGTTTAATGCTTGCGAGAAAAACTATCGTGATATTATCCTACCTATGTGTTCGCAAATGAAGACCACAAAGAAAGGAGTGACGAGGTCATTTATCCCCTGAACATATCCGCTGGCAGGGTGACGGATCGCCCATATAAACAAGATCCTTTCGAAAATCTGGAAGAAAATGGGACAGGTGGTGAAACAAAAAGGTGAATACAGTGTATGCATTAAAATGCAAGCATTCTTTTACTTAAAACATGTACCATCTATATTTGTCACAGTCTCTGATATTAAAATACAAATGTAAACAAACATCAACTGCTGCTTAATTTTTCTGTAAAATTCTGATTATCTTTACCATTTATTCCCCCACATGCAACATGCAGTATTTCACGCAGATGTTCCAAGGTGACACTGTACACCGATGCAACGCATGGTTGCACACACGCGCGCGCACACACACACGTGCACAGGCAGAGCTTAAAGACCTTTGCACAATGCACACCTCCCAACGACACAGCCCACGGGCCAGTGTGGCGCTCTGGCTTACCGTCAGTCTGGTCCCTGCCTCGGGGATTCCCCAGCCAGCACCCACGTCCTTAGCCACCCTAAGCCTGCCAGGCTATCACCCACACAGGTCTCGCAGCCTAGAAAGCCTGTCCTCCTTTCCTCAGAGCCTCGACTCAGCTGTAGGACTATAGGTATAAAATGTCCTATTTCCTCAAGTACTAAGTTTGGCACTTGGTACCTCTGACGTTTTACTTTGACACTTCTTGTTTTATTTTTATTGTGAAGGTGCATCCTCACTTTCGCAAATGTGCATTTTGGCTTGTGATTATCTGTCAAAATTTTTTAGAACAATTTTTGTGAAACCATGGATAAGTAAAAAATTCGTGTTATTTTTTAACATGAGTTCCATCAAGGAACCAATGCAGCACAGACAGCTTAAAAAATATCAACAAAGTATTTGGGAAGGATGTGGCTAATGAACGCACAGTATGCTGATGGTTTAGAAGTTACATTCCGGTGATTTTAATCTTGAAAAGGAGCCATGTGGGCGACCTGACAGCAAGGTGGATAATGATGAGCTGAAAGCTGTAGTGGAAGTGAATCCATCTCAACCTGTGTGTGAATTAGCAGCAAGGTTTGACGTTTACTATTCTAACAATATTGGACCATTGGAAACAAATCAGCAAGGTAAAGAAGCTCGATAGATGGGTTTCATGTGAATTAAATGAGCGTCGGAAGAGAAATCGGCTTGGGGCTTACCTTTCTTTGTTGTCACAACATAAAGACGAACCATTTCTACACTATATTGTAACATGTGATGAACAATGGATTCTTTTTGACAATCACAAGCATCGGGGTACAATGGTTAGATGAAGGTAAAGTGCCGAAACAGTCCAAAACTGAATATTCATCCGAAAAAGCTAATGGTGTCTGTTTGGTGGTCCAGCGCTGGTATTATCCACTACAGCTTCATGAAACCTGGTCAATCTATTACAGTGGACATCTACTGCAACCCCAACTGGACAAAATGGTGAGGATGCTTGCGATTAAGCAGCTGAGATGGGTCAATAGAGACGGACCAATCCTCTTGCAAGACAAACGCTCAACCATGTGTCTTATAAACAACGCTGCTCAAACTATGGAGCTAGACTTGGAAACTCTCTGTCATCCACCATATGCACCAGAACTTGCACCAAACTGACTACCACTTCTTCCAGGCTTTGGATCACCTTTTGCAAGGAAAAATATTCAGTTCTCAACAAGCTATGGAACAGGCCTTTCACAATTTCATGGTCACTTGCTGGCTAGGCTTCTTCGCTGCCGGGATTAACAAAGCTACCGTTAAAATGACACAACTGTGTGGACAGTTTAGGCTCATACTTGGATTAATCATGCTTTTTCTTATTTGACTTATAATAAACTATACTCTTGATTCAAAATTGGACATTTCATATTTAATGCCCTAATATCTTTCAACCCTGACTTCAAGCACACTTCCTCAGTGAAGACTTCACTGCTGTCTGCTCCCTCTCCACGGTCTTTTTGGAGGAGCAAACCACTTCCTACTTTGTGTCCCTCTGGTCTCCCTCCTCTCCACTGAGTCACCTGCTGCTGGCTCCAGCCTGAGCCTCAGCTCCGTGCCGGCCAAGGCTGGGTCTCACTGCTCTGTCTGGCCTTACACAAACAAGGGACACAATGAAGAAGTCACCAATGAACACTCCAACAAATGAATGGATTACACTGCTTCCAAACAAAAAGACCTTGCAGAGCCAACTGTAGCCCACACCCTGGGAAGTCAATCCCTTCCTACATTGCCTACAACCCTAAATATTATTGGGTTTGGTAGTGCATATCCCCAAAATCAGCATCAACCTGGGATATACAAAGAAGGGACCTAGGGCCCAGACAGGGGAAGTCCCTTAACTCAGGGCATACAGTCCACAGTGGTGACACCAGGCCCCCACACCAATTCCTACACTGGTGCTCCATCCACTGTGGTTGCTCAAATGAATGGCAAAGTAACTCCCTGCTAGCCCAGCAGGCACCTGATAAACCCTGGGGAAAGGAGTAACACATTCACACGTGGATATTCATACACATTTTTCACTTTAAGTCAACAGCTTTTCAATGAGAACTCAGAATTGAATATTTAAATAAAACCAAAGACCACAATCACTCAACATGGCACCATTTAAGAATTTCTCCTGCACAAAAACTTAGCAAACGATAAGGATGCTATTTAATAAAGCTGGAAGCAGCATCCTGTGGGCAGCCCCTCGGGCACCCCCGAGAGAGAGCAGGAAGCTGGGTGGCAGAAGGAAGATGCCTTCGGACAGCAGCAGCTCTGCTGTGAGTCACAGAGTGGCAGCCCTTCCTGCCCAGCCCTGATGACAGCAGGTGCCTGAGATGGGCGGCGACAGGACTGAGGGCAGCTTAGGGGAGCTGAGCAGGCAAAGGGCATTCGTGAGGCTCAACTGCCCCTGGAAGCAATCACCTGGAAGCCTCCTAGGGGCCTCTGCACCCTGCCAGAAGCAGGAAAGGACAGGACAGGGGCTGGATGGCAGCCAGCAGGAGCAGTGACAGGAAGAAAAAGGCACAACGTGGTGGCTCAGACACCGACCATGGAATCATGAAGAGACGGGGAAATTCTACTGAGTCTGCCTCCTCACTGCGAAGGCCCAGAGACACCCTGGAACCCCACTGACATCTGCCATGGAGGGCTGTGCGCACTGGGAGCCTGCCCCCAGGACAGAGGGAGACAGTCACGCAGCAAGGCTTCCAGAGCATTGGTGGGGTGTGTGTGCATGGTGTGTGCATGGTTTGTGTGCAGGAGTGTGCACAGTGTGTGTGGGGGGGTACCATCAGTGGCATGTGTGGGGTGTGCATAAGCTGTACATGTTGGGGTATGTGCGTGTGTGTGGTATGTATACATGTGTGTATGGGGCTGTGGTATAGGGGCGGTATGTATGATGTGTGTGCACATGTATGTAAGGTGTGTATTTGTGGTGTTTAGGGTAGGAGGGTTATTCACAGTGTGTATGGGGTGTGCGTGTGGCGTGGGTGTAGGGGGGTCTGTACATGTGTGTGAGGTGTGTATCTGTCTGTGGGGTGTGAGGGGGCTATGCGTGGTGTGTGTGTACATATAGTATGTATGAGGGGGTCCATATGTGTGAGGTGTCTATTTGTCTGTGGGGTGTCAGGGAAGGGTATGTGTGGTGTGTGTGGTGTACATGTGGGGTCTGAGGTGTGTGCAGGTGTGTGAGGCATGTGCCCATGGGGTGTGTGGGATGGGAGGTATGTGTGGTGTGTGTGTATGTATACGTGGGGTATGAGGTATGCGTCTGAGGGGTGTAGGGTGTGTGAGGGGGCTGTGTGTGGTGTGTATGTGGGGTCTGTGGTATCTTGGGGTATGTGTGGTGTGGGTGCATGCGTACGTGGGGTATAAGGTGTGTGAGGTGTGTGTCTGCGGGAAGTGGGGTGTGAGGGGGCTGTGTGTGGTGTGTGTATGTGGGGTCTGTGGTATCTGGGGGTGTGTGTGGTGTGGGTGTATGCGTACGTGGGGTATAAGGTGTGTGAGGTGTGTGTCTGCGGGGTGTGGGGTGTGTGTGGGGGCTGTGTGTGGTGTGTATGTGGGGTCTGTGGTATCTGGGGGTATGTGTGGTGTGTGTGTATGTGTACGTAGGGTGTAAGGTGTGTGAGGTGTGTGTCTGCGGGGTGTGGGGTGTGAGGGGCTGTGTGTGGTGTGTATGTGGGGTCTGTGGTATCTGGGGGTATGTGTGGTGTGTGTGTATGCGTACGTGGGGTATAAGGTGTATGAGTGTGTGTCTGCGGGGTGTGGGGTGTGTGAGGGGGCTGTGTGTGGTGTGTATGTGGGGTCTGTGGTATCTGGGGGTATGTGTGGTGTGTGTGTATGCGTACGTGG